ATGTTCAGGATAATTAAGTTCATCTTATGAACTCCCACTCAGATAGACATCCCTCTAGTCATCTAAGTGATTACATGATCCAAGTCAACTAGGTCGTGTCCGATCATCACGTGAGACGGACTAGTCATCATCGGTGAACATCTTCATGTTGATCGTATCTACTATACGACTCATGCTCGACCTTTCGGTCTCTTGTGTTCCGAGGCCATGTCTGTACATGCTAGGCTCGTCAAGTCGACTTAAGTGTTTCGCATGTGTAAATCTGGCTTACACCCGTTGTATGTGAACGTTAGAATCTATCACACCCGATGATCACGTGGTGCTTCGAAACAACGAACTTTCGCAACGGTGCACAGTTAGGGGGAACACTTTCTTGAAATTTTAATGAGGGATCATCTTATTTACTACCGTCGTTCTAAGCAAATAAGATGCATAAACATGATAAACATCACATGCAACCAAATAGTGACATGATATGGCCAATATCATTTTGCTCCTTTTGATCTCCATCTTCGGGGCTCCATGATCATCATCGTCACCGGCATGACACCATGATCTCCATCATCGTGTCTTCATGAAGTTGTCTCGCCAACTATTACTTCTACTACTATGGCTACCGCTTAGCAATAAAGTAAAGTAATTACATGGCGTTGTTTAATGACACGCAGGTCATACAATAAATTAAGACAACTCCTATGGCTCCTGCCGGTTGTCATACTCATCGACATGCAAGTCGTGATTCCTATTACAAGAACATGATCAATCTCATACATCACATATCATTCATCACATTCTTCTTGGCCATATCACATCACATAGCATACCCTGCAAAAACAAGTTAGACGTCCTCTAATTGTTGTTTGCATGTTTTACGTGGTTGCTATGGGTTTCTAACAAGAACGTTTCTTACCTACGCAAAACCACAACATGATATGCCAATTGCTATTTACCCTTCATAAGGACCCTTTTCATCGAATCCGTTCTGACTAAAGTGGGAGAGACTGGCACCCACTAGCCACCTTATGCACCAAGTGCATGTCAGTCGGTGGAACCTGTCTCACGTAAGTGTACGTGTAAGGTCGGTCCGGGCTGCTTCATCCCACAATACCGTCGAAACAAGATTGGACTAGTAACAGTAAGCATATTGAACAAAATCAACGCCCACAACTACTTTGTGTTCTACTCGTGCAAAGAATCTACGCAATAGACCTAGCTCATGATGCCACTGTTGGAGAACGTAGCAGAAATTCAAAATTTTCCTACGAGTCACCAAGATCTATCTATGGAGAGACTAGCAACGAGGGGAAGGAGAGTGCATCTACATACCCTTGTAGATCGCTAAGCGGAAGCGTTCAAGTGAACGGGGTTGATGGAGTCGTACTCGTCGTGATCCAAATCACCGATGATCCTAGTGCCGAACGGACGGCACCTCCGCGTTCAACACACATGCAGCCCGGTGACGTCTCCCATGTCTTGATCCAGCAAGGAGAGAGGGAGAGGTTGGGGAAGACTCCGTCCAGCAGCAGCACGACGTCGTGGTGGTGGAGGAGGAGCGTGGCAATCCTGCAGGGCTTCGCCAAGCACCGCGGGAGAGGAGGAGTATTTTGGGAGAGGGGGAGGGCTGCGCCAGAACTTGGGGTGCGGCTGCCCTCCCACCCCTCCACTATTTATAGGTGGGAGAGAGGGGGGGCCCCCCTTAGTTCCCATCTAGGGTTGGGGGCGGCGGCCAAGGGGGGAGGAGTGCCTCCCAAGTCAAGTGGAGGCCCTCCCCTTTAGGGTTTCCCCTCTCCCATGCGCATGGGCCTTGGGAGGGCTGGTGCCCCTGGCCCATTAAGGCTAGGGCGCCCCCTTACAGCCCATGCTGCTGTATTGGACGTGGTGGAACATTTTCCGGACCTCCGGACCCCTCCGGAATCCTCCGGAACCTTCTGGAAGCTTCCCGGTACAATACCGAAAAAACCCGAACTTTTCCCGGAACCCGAACAACAACTTTCCATATATAAATCTTTACCTCCGGACCATTCCGGAACTCCTCGTGACGTCCGGGATCTCATCCGGGACTCCGAACAACATTCAGTAACCACATACAAACTTCCTTTATAACCCTAGCGTCATCGAACCTTAAGTGTGTAGACCCTACGGGTTCGGGAACCATGCAGACATGACCAAGATGTTCTCCGATCAATAACCAACAGCAGGATCTGGATACCCATGTTGGCTCCCACATGTTCCACGATGATCTCATCGGATGAACCACGATGTCAAGGACTCAATCGATCCCGTATACAATTCCCTTTGTCTAGCGGTATTGTACTTGCCTGAGATTTGATCGTCGGTATCCCGATACCTTGTTCAATCTCGTTACCGGCAAGTCTCTTTACTCGTTCCATAACACATCATCCCGTGATCAACCCCTTCGTCACATTGTGCACATTATGATGATGTCCTACCGAGTGGGCCCAGAGATACCTCTCCGTTACACGGAGTGACAAATCCCAGTCTCGATTCGTGCCAACCCAACAGACACTTTCGGAGATACCCGTAGTGCACCTTTATAGCCACCCAGTTACGTTGTGACGTTTGGTACACCCAAAGCATTCCTACGGTATACGGGAGTTGCACAATCTCATGGTCTAAGGAAATGATACTTGACATTAGAAAAGCTCTAGCATACGAACTACACGATCTTTGTGCTAGGCTTAGGATTGGGTCTTGTCCATCACATCATTCTCCAAATGATGTGATCCCGTTATCAATGACATCCAATGTCCATGGTCAGGAAACCGTAACCATCTATTGATCAACGAGCTAGTCAACTAGAGGCTTACTAGGGACATGGTGTTGTCTATGTACCCACACATGTATCTGAGTTTCCTATCAATACAATTATAGCATGGATAATAAATGACTATCATGAACAAAGAAATATAATAATAATAACTAATTTATTATTGCCTCTAGGGCATATTTCCAACATCCTGCAGCAGGGGGTCACCCGAGTGCCTAGGCACCCTAGGACTAGGGGGTCTTAGGGGGCCACCTATAGCCCGTGCCCCCTTTGGCTTTCCTCCGATGCCCAATGGTCTATTTATACCCACTACAAAGCGAGGTTTTTGTGATGGTTCATTGTGTCACATAAAACCGGTTTTCGCCATCGAAAATGGTCTGGTACGATTTTTGGCCATCACTGAAGCGTCGTCACAAAAGATAAAATCTTCACAATACTACTTTTTCTACCACCTAAGACCGTGTCTTAGGTGAAGAACCCGATTGTGTCACGAATGGCCATTTTCGGTGGTGACCCAAACTGTCACCTATCATACACCGATTTGCCATCTAAGGTTATTTTTGGTGACGACAATCTGTCATTAGTAATAGGTTCACCGGTTTGGACAGTAAAAGATTCTCACAAATGGCCCCAACGGATGCTGACGTGGCTATTTCCATGTGGGTCCGGATGTGGTTTCATCACTGATGATGGCCTCAGTAATAAGTTGGGCATCGGTTTTGACAGGTCAATGGTACCGACATATGGGCCCGAAAGATACTGACGTGGTTGTTTACACGTGGGACCACACAAGGGTGAGGACCTGCATTTCTGTCACAATTACCGTCCAAGTAGAAAAAAAGCTACAATTTATATATTATGACATTTTTCTACCAACTTTGAATTTAATTTGAAAATGTAGGAAAAAATAGATTCAATTTCTAAATCCATGGAATATGAGAATTCAAACATAGTCAATAGATCTTTCATTAAAACTGAAAACCGAAAATTACAACGAGAACTATGAGACATAGTATCAAACATTATAAAGAAGACAAAGGAAAATTATGTTGATGATTCTTTATCAGGCCACTAAGCATTGGATCCATATGTTTTTGCCTTTTCCCAAAGACATTGGTTTTCTTGTGCCGGTCCATTTGACATCTTCAATCTCTAGTAGCTGCTTTCTTGGGGTCTTCAATTTTGTATATTTGGGCAAAAAAGCACTACATTCAGGTCTTGCTCAAACCTACCACTTTCCTTTTTACGTGTGCCTTCTGAGTTGTAATGATGTGTTCTAGCTCACGGATGCATTCATGAGAGAATAAATTCTTCCTAGAGGCGGATGGGATGGAATGCTCGAAAGTAACATGCTTGATGGGCTCTTTTTCTCGATAATCTGTACATCAGAAATTGTTGTCCCATTGTGTAGTTCTGGTACTGTTTTTTCGGTCCTAGTTTCATTCTAATATGATTGATAGCAGTGTTAGGGCAGATTTGATAGTTTGAATAGTCATGATCAAACTATACATTTAAAGTCTACATAATAGGCATTACTTAAGTATGGTTTGTGCACTCTGGCTAAATCTAGATCTTTTTTTCAGTGTGCGTACATTCAAACAAATTACTAGCGAATTGTTTCTCAATGTTGTCCTTAGCGTTAAATCAAGTTTATCAACCGGTAAATATTAACACTGCAAGCTATCCAATAATCCTACATAAAGCATTTGTTAAAATATTATTTATCATATTTTTATAGTGATGAGAATCACATCTTATATACGTCCAATTTTGCAAAACTCTCTCTCCGGCCAGGCAAGGGATGACGAGGACCGGTCAAGCAGCACCGGAGCGGGCAGAGATTGGTCGCACAACCGAGCGGCTTGCTGAACCTATCCGCGATCCAACGGCTCGTACAGGCCGAAGAATAGCCGAATCGAAAACCTTTCTCCCGTCTCCGACCCTCCCCCAAATCCCCTCGTCGCCCTCGGCCCTCCCCATTTTCCCAACTCAAACGCCGCCGAGAACCGAGATACCGAAACCCAAACACAGAGGCAAGCGCAAATACGTGGAGGAGAGAAGGCGCCTCCCCTCCCCTGCCCCCGCGATGGACATCTCGGCCGGCGGCGGCGGCAACTCGCTGCCCACCACCGGCGCGGACGGCTCGAAGCGCCGCGTCTGCTACTTCTACGACGCGGAGGTGGGCAACTACTACTACGGGCAGGGCCACCCGATGAAGCCGCACCGCATCCGCATGACCCACGCCCTGCTCGCCCACTACGGCCTCCTCGACGAGATGCAGGTGCTCAAGCCGCACCCCGCCCGCGACCGCGACCTCTGCCGCTTCCACGCCGACGACTACGTCTCCTTCCTCCGCTCCGTCACCCCGGAGACGCAGCAGGACCAGATCCGCGCGCTCAAGCGCTTCAACGTCGGCGAGGACTGCCCCGTCTTCGACGGCCTCTACAGCTTCTGCCAGACCTACGCTGGCGGCTCCGTCGGGGGCGCCGTCAAGCTCAACCACGGCCACGACATCGCAATCAACTGGGCCGGCGGCCTCCACCACGCCAAGAAGTGCGAGGCCTCCGGCTTCTGCTACGTCAACGACATCGTCCTCGCCATCCTCGAGCTCCTCAAATACCACCAGGTATGTGCCGTGCCATGCCCTGTTATCTAATCTACCACCCTTTGTTCCCCTCAATTTTGCAAAATTGTGTTCTCTTAACATGTTAATTAATAATTCGCGTTCACAGCGTGTTCTGTATGTGGATATCGATATCCACCATGGGGACGGCGTGGAGGAGGCGTTTTACACCACGGACAGGGTGATGACTGTCTCATTCCACAAGTTTGGGGATTATTTCCCAGGGACAGGAGACATTCGTGACGTTGGGCACTCCAAGGGGAAGTATTACTCCCTGAATGTCCCATTGGATGACGGCATCGACGACGAGAGCTATCAATCGTTGTTCAAGCCGATCATGGGTAAGGTTATGGAGATTTTCCGCCCCGGTGCGGTGGTGCTACAGTGTGGAGCAGATTCCTTATCGGGTGACCGGTTGGGCTGCTTCAACCTATCCATTAAGGGGCACGCGGAGTGCGTGAGATTCATGAGGTCCTTCAATGTTCCGGTGTTGCTGCTTGGTGGTGGTGGTTATACCATAAGAAACGTTGCACGATGTTGGTGCTATGAGGTATATATTAAAGGGAATTTTCATCTAAAAACACATCTTTGTAGAGCTTCTGGTGTGCATTATTCTACCTATTCCAGTGTTTTTTTTCTTTCCAATTAATGGCGTTTAGAATATCCGATTGCGTGAAATAAATTTTTTATTCTGTAGCACCAGCACCTAGCCATGTATATGATCTATCAGGACACACCGGCTTGCCAAAGTGGCTTAACATTTATGAGTAGTTCTGGGAAAATATCATTTTATACAAACTTACTTCTCGAGTTCTCGTCTACTTATGCTACTAGTGCTCCAAAGCAATGGGAGAAAATCCTAAAAGTCGTAAATAAATTATGAAAAAAATGGAGTGAATGTGAATTGGCACCGTGTGTATCTACCATGACACATAGTTTCAAATGGAAATTCACTGTGTGTATATCTACCATGACATACTGTTTCAAATGGAATTTCCACACACATATTCACTGTTATGCTAAGAAGTGTATATGTCGCTTCACATAATCAGATCCATAAAGCTTCTGTACAGTACATATGTGTTGATGCTGTAGTTCTTTGTTGTGGAGGCAGGTATGCATATTGTGTTTTCTGCCCCGTGAAAATACAAAACTGTCAACTTAATGGGTTTTACCCTTTGTTTAAACCCATAAAGCTTTCCATCATGTTTTCGTTTCAAGAAATGATGGGACATAGCTAGCAAGAACTGTACATCTTGTCACCACAACACCCTCACCCTCAACTTTTATTATTTATTTGCTTTGCATCATGCCTTCTTTTCGTAGGACAAGTACCTATGTTTCAGTTATATGCTGCAGTGACTGTCGTCGTTTTGCTCCCTCAACAAGTCAACATGCTGTTCACAATAGGGAGTTGCATGCCAATAGGTTGTATTTGTACTAGCATCTGATTGTGTAAAATAAGAAAGTTATTCTAGCATCCTCAATAGCACAAACAGTATGCATACCATGCACGTGATTCAACACGGGCACACTGGCTTGGCAAAGTGACATTCATGATCACTTACATAAAGAATGTCATGTTACACAGACCCACCTCTCTTGAAAGTATGTCGCTATTTTGTTAATATGTGAATGTCCGTAGCAACTGTTGTTAAGCTAAGAAATGTCTTATGCCTCTTCACGTACGTAATCATTGTATCCGCAAATCTTTCTTTCAGTACGTACGTGTATATGATGTAGGTCTCTGATTCTTTGAAAAGGGAAAACTATAAGCTCGTGTCTTCTACACCTGTACTTTTTTGAAAGTGACTGTTGGGAATAATGGTATTTCATGGAGAGGTTTTGGTCTTTATGTCAAATTTGAACTATTGTGAAACTTTACAAAAATAATACACTACTCTTCCTAACATGGCCTAGAGCATTCTGTCATATATCACTCTCAAGAAATTGTTAGGACATACTACTGCTTCCATCTGCCTAAAGCACACAGTCTGATTTGTGGTTACGCCACACTATTCCTACATGTAATGGCGTTTCTTGGTTTTGGATCACACGTTCATTTTTTGCAGAACACATTTTTGATTGGTTTGCAGCCACACCTTGCCAAATGTTAGGCGGACAAGTTCGGCAAGTGTTTGGTTGCAGCCAGTCAGCCACAGATATGGCGTTCCACACTTTCATAGCCTTTTATCGTACCTGTTGGTTTTCATAGACACATTTGGTAGCCAACTTTTGCCACTAGTGTTGGTGATCAATTTGGCCGCCAATAAAACTGTACCTTGCCACACTTGGGGCACATAAGTGTGGTAGTGTGCCAGTTTGTCAGTGTGGAAGGCAACCAAACATGCCTTGAACCGTGTGCTGCAGTGGCTCTGTTGTTGTTTTGGTTCCTCAACAGGCTGCCATATAAAATCTGCTTTTCATATTTTTAAATGTAAATCATGCTATTTCAAATACTTAAAATAACATAATTTTAAAATTGTAAACTGTACTGCATAGTGCAAAGTTGAATTGTTTCTGCAATAGGTTCTTTTTATGTTTCCAGGAGCCACGATAGTTTTGTCCGAAATAATAAAACATTAATTGCTACTACTTTCTCATGTTTTGTAGACTACAGGTGATAGAGCCCGAGATTTAGGATGCCAGTGGCCGGATATACTACACTACCACTGACAGGGCTTGATAGGATTAACGCAAACGAAATTCATTTATATCAATAGTATATAGAGTAATAGAAATAAGGTATAGACCATGCATTTTTGGATGTAACAGTGTAAAAATGTTGGTTGAAATCATGAAACTCTGTAGAATCGCCATGCTCAACCACCAGACTATATCTACCGTCTTGTATTGGTTTAGTAATTCCTGATTTTAAAATATGCTTGTAATGTCATTTCTTACACTAGTACTATTTTTATTTACTGTTCAATAATAAATAGGTTCCTATTTTTGTAATGCATGGCACGTATAATGCTTATTTCTTTAAAGATGAACTCCTTCCGTTTTTACTTATCTGTCTATGTACATTTGATTATTTATTTAGGAAAATTTTAAAGTAATATAGTACAACTTGTGATCAACAGAGATGTATTTAAGTGTTTGGGGGGTTCTATTGCTTTTTCTGCATATATGCTAATTCAGTTTTCACCAATTTAATTACTGATGTTCCTTTTTTGCCCTTTTGTTGAGCAGACAGGAGTTGCACTTGGTCATGAGCTAACTGACAAGATGCCGCTAAATGAGTATTATGAGTATTTTGGCCCAGATTATACTCTTCATGTTGCACCAAGTAATATGGAGAACAAAAACACACACCGGCAATTGGATGATATAAGATCAAGACTTCTCGAAAATCTTACAAAACTCCGGCATGCTCCTAGTGTCCAGTTTCAAGAGCGACCTCCTGAGGCCGAGCAACCAGAGGTGATCTTTCGAGTAACAAATTTCTTTTTTCTGGCATACATCAGATACAATAGTCAATAGTAATGGCTTCCACACCCTTGATCTAGAACGACACTCTGACAGTGTGACCATTTGTGTTGAGAGTGAATGTTGACTTTTGTTCTGCTTAAGTGCTAATTATCCTACTGGAAACTGCAAGAAGCACAGATGTGAAATTTCTATAAATATAAGGGGAAAACGCCACTTTACCCCCCTCAAACTATTGGGTAGGCTCACCTACCCCCCTGAACTAGTCTTTGTCCCACTTAACTCCCTAAACATCTTATTCCAGATCATTTTGCCCGGCGGTTGTTTTCATATGTGGTATAACATGGAAGACATATACCTGGTTTCGCATGCGTGGAAGCCACCTCACCTTCTTCCTCCTTAAGACACTCTCTCCACCCATCAACTTCTCCCCGCGATGTCCTCCCCTGCTTTGCCATGTAGCCGTTGTGCCCCAAGCCCGTTTGGTCACCTCTTCCCAGTTGCGCCCCCATCAATCCTTTTGTCGTGTTGGCTCCTTCCCCTTGAGACCCGCGTTTGTACACGCGGGTGATGTGCAGAACAGATCCAAAGGAGCCTAATTAGTACACTCAAATGGCATGGGAACAGTTCATTCAAATAACCATATCCCAACTCGAGCTGTCCGATCAATCATTACTCAAGAAAAGTAATTATTTTCCGAAGACAGTTTATGAACGAGTAAGTGGAAGGAAATGCATCCCTGTAAACACCTTCTCTGTAAACATGAGCTTTGTTTGGGATCCCTGCAAGGTGTATCATACACGCACCCAGCAAATCACATACAAAATTAAGAACCATATAGGAAGCATGTGCCCTCCAACAGAGTGGTGACGTGGCAAAGTGAAACAAGATAGTGGTAACACTCTGGCAACAGCGAGTTGTGGGGACTGGTAGTGGCTCAGGCTGTGGTGTCGTGAGTGGTCTAGTGACAGTTGTGTCCATGTAGACGAGGAGGTGCTTGGATGCGGCAAGCTACAAAGACAATAGCCACAGAAGTGCTATGTGGGAGAAGAGGTTTTGGATGCTGCAAAAGATGAGGAAATTGGGATTGGGATTCATATGGGAGAGAGAAAAAAGGTGGAGGAAGAAGAATATGAGAAGCGAGCCACGTGGACACAATCTAGTGACGTGGTAGCCCATGTGGCAGTACCACCATTTATTTTCAGAACCACCTTCCAAAACTGCTCTAGGGGATTAATTGGTCCACCACCAGTCACCAATAGTCTAGGAGCCTAGGTTCCGCGATGAATAGTTTTGAGCACCACGAATAATGAGGGGGTAACGTGGACTTCTTTTTCTAAATATAAGTATAGGGATTGACAAAAGCTAGTAGATGGCCTTTTTCGGTTCGAAAATGGTCAAATTACCATTTGGACGCCAATCCTTGCCCTCTCATGCATTCAGTCTGCCCTGCATGAATACTGGAAGTAGGGATTTGCAGATCGTCCTTGTCTACTTTACTTGCTGTGCATATTATGTCTCTGAGCCATTTTTCTGGAAATAGTAAGTTTGTGCCCATTTGATTAATTTATCTCTACTATTAAAGGGGAGTTGGTTGTGTCAGCCTCCACCTCCTACCTGTTTTTTATCTCCCTTTGTTTTTTTGGGTAACGCCAACCGTTGCCGCACAAAATAAAAACCAACATAAATATATTAACTTGGAGTAATATAAACCAAATCGATACTTTCCCAAAACTTCCTCCTGCATTAATTCAATCAAATCTAATCAATCTTACCAAAATCTCTACTAAATCATAATTTTCCTTGCCTTTCCCTACCCATACTCCCATCAAATTAAATGTTACCAAAATTGATTTAAGGTATATGTCGGACAAGATTGAGTTGAACCACTAGAGTACGTGCCCATTGCAACACACGGGCAATTAGCTAGTTTTAGAAAATTCTTTGCCCATTTCATGCAGCCAACTCATGCTTTTAGGTGTTATAAGTATGAACATCATTTATGTAGTTTGTTCTTTTGTTAAGGTTGACCATCTTTGAATTAATTGTCATGTATACTGCTGCAAATTATATCTGTAATGTTTAAATCAACTTATAAAACATGGCAAGTTGGATATATCTTGTCAGATATTTATGACTGTTTTTCTTCTGTTCATTTGTTCGGTTGGGCCAAGACCAATGGGTTCATTTCTAGGGTCTATTGTATTTGTCTTGCTACCATGGGACCACGTTGACTTGAGGTTGAGCTATGTGCCACCGTGCATGATATTGATATTTTGGTATTAGCTCTAGATGTGATCATTAATGCTCATTGACTGTAGTTGTAGTTTCGGAAGCAGCATGGCTAGCAGTCATCTTATATTGGCTAAGTTGCATTTGTGTTGGGTACAGCAAGATGAAGATCAAGAGAATCCCGATGAAAGGCATCATGCTGACTCCGATGTGGAAATGGATGATGCCAAGCCTCTGGAGGACTCTGAAAGGTGTTCTTTTTATTTGGTTCCTTAGTCGTTCAGGTGATTATTTATAGCAATACCATGGGTTCTGACGCATGCCATTTTCTCCTGTAGGAGAAGCAGTACTCAAAGTGCCAGAGTTAAGAGAGAATCTACTGAAACTGAGGTGACAGCAGATCAGGTACTTCACTTCTATTTTAACTCGTATACTGATTCAATAATACTCAGTATATGCATAAAATTACAATTGCTTTGGTACATAACGCATTCTTGCAGACATCTAAGCAGCAATACTTATTTTATATAATTGCATGCTGCTATTTATCCTTTTTATTTTAACCGGCAAACAGTTGGAGAGAGGTTGAGAAGCTCCAACTGCATTGGACTGATAAATGAGTAGGAAGAGTTTGTGTACAAGTTGGTGTCTATCTTTTGCAGAATGGCAATATATCATGCCTTTTACCAGAAACATGTTATATAGTCGGCGTCTGTAAAAGACATCCATGGAGAGTTGATGCATTGTCCAACATTTGGAATTTTAATCATGGTTGCTTAGGCACTTCTGAATCTGAAGAAGCTATTGTCCAATATGTCAAACTAAGAATTAGTAATTCGAATACTTGAAGTGAATTAAATCCCTATAATATTGTGATTATATATTGCTCACAGTATTTACTCATGTTAGTGTTGTATGAAGTGTTAGTAACGAAAATCATATTTGTAAGGCTGTATTAGAGTGGAAAAAGAACTTGACCACCAGGACTAGCCCTTGGTGGCATTTTTTAAAGAATTACATTGTGCCCTTTTCCAGAAACATTATTATGGTTGGCGGCTATAAAAGACATCCAAGGAGAGTTGATACATTGTCCAAATGTCCAGCATTTGGAATTTTAATTTTGGTTACCTGGGTATTTCTGAATCTTAGGAAGCTATGTGTCTAATATGTCAAATTAAAATTAGTAACTAGAATAGTATAAGTGAATTAAAACCCTATAATGTTGTGACTGTATATTGATCACGGTGTTTAGTTATGTTAGCGTTCTATGGAAAATCGTTATTAATGCAAATCCATATCTGTAAGGCTGATTAGAGTGCCAATTATTTCCCGACAACCAAGACTAGTCCTTGGTGGCACCTTTTAAAGACGAAAGGTGATTACCCAGCAATGTGGGAGGCTGAGCCTCAAATGCAGGTGGTTGGACTGCTGGCACTAAAACCTGCTCCATCTAGCCACCCTACAGAGGCTCGATCTCGCTGTATTAGGCGGCACGTACTTTAGGGTTTTGGGCTTGTGGGTTTTGATCTTAGGTTTGATTTTTAAGATGTT